TTACTTTATACATTTTTCTCTGCCTCAACACACTGATGGGCAGTTCTTAAAACATATTTGGGCAATGATCGTGTGTTGAAATCTCTTTCTAATACTCGCTGGGAGGCACATGCAGTGGCAATAAGTGCAATTCTGGAGTCCTACTCAAAGATTGTGGCTGCATTAGAAAGTATAGCTGAAGACCAATCACAAAAGGGAGAAACTATACGAGAGGCAGAAAGCATTACAAACAAGATGCAAGAACTAGAGTTTGTATTCATGTTGACCATGTGTGGTAAAGGTGTTGTAAAATTTCATTCCACAAGTCAAGCTCTCCAAGAAAAAGAATTGGATTTTGAAACATGTGCAGACCTCTGTCAATCATTAGCAGACCACTTACACACTTTGAGGAATGATTTTATGGTATAGTATTGTTTTTATTTTGAATTACATATGGGAGGGCACCATAATCTTTTCAGTGCTTAGGGCCAATAAAGGTTTTAATCTGGCCCTGACTCTGAGGACGGGTAGGAAGTGGCCCAGGGACAGCTGACTGTGGTCTGGCTGGGTTGCTGCCAGAGTCTGGTTCAGTGTGTTGCGTCTGGATTCCAGCTGACCCAGTGGCAGACCACTCTGCCACTGTTAGGGCCCTTGGTTGGGACGCAGTGGAGTCGGTTGGGCCTGCATCCTCCTACCCCCTGCCATCCCATCCCTGGTCTGGCAGCCACTCCATCTTCAGCCAGGAGGCCTGTGGGAGTCTACCATCTTCTTGGGCCCCGTAGACCAGTGGGGGGCAACCTTTGGAGAACGGTGAGCTGTGGCTCCTGAGAGATGCGGGCGGCTATGCCTGCAGATGGTCAATGAAAACAAACTCTCTTGTGGCCCACCAGTGGATTACCCTGATGGCCCGTGGACCACTGCCCTAGCCTATGTTGGGTGCTTGCCCCTTGCCTGGGCCCACTAGACTGTGTTGGGTGCTCACCTCTGCCTGAGAGCTGGAGCCCTAGACTGCTGGTACCCCGCCCTGCTTGAGGGTCAGGGTCTGGATAATTCACTGCTCTGCCCTGCCTGAGGGCTGGAGCCCTAGACAGTTGGTATCCTGCCCTGTGTGCGGGCTGGGGTCCCTGGATTATTCACTGGGTCTGCCCTGCCAGAGTGTTGGGGCCTAGACTGTGCTCAGTACCCTACTCTGTCTGAGGGCCTGGGTTCCCAGACTATACCAGGCTCTACCCTGCCTGAGGGTTGGGCTTAAGACTGTTGGTGCCCTGCCCTCTCTGAGGGCTTAGTCCCCTGAACCACTCGCTGCTTGACCCCGCCGGAGGCATTGAGCCCAAGACTGCTAACTTCCCCCTTGTCTAAAACTGGTATTCCAGGGGTGTGACAGCCAAGAGGTATGGGTATAGGGAGGGAGGGAGGGAGGGCCACACATGCCTACACGTTTACAATCTGCATACACAGCAGTTTGTGTTGTGGCTCCCTAGATATAATAATCCAAGCCACAATTGCCCACATCATGGAGGATAGGTCTACCAATGGCATTAACCTAGATGGTCAGGGGTGTAACCACATACTCTGAGTGTTGCTAGCCTCTGTTTGCCAGAATCTGGGAGAGGACTACAGGGGATGGATCACTCAATGATTGCCTGTTCCGTTCATTCCCTCTGAAGCATCTGGCATTGGCCACTGTAGGAAGACAGGACATGGGGCTCACTGGATCATTGGTCTGGCCCACTATGGCTGTTCTTATGTACATCAGTACTTGGATTGGAGTCCACCAGGAAATTATTACTCAATAAGTGGATTACAATAGCATCTAGATGTCCCACCCAGATTGCAGTCCCCTGGAGCTAAGTGCAAACACATGGTAACAGACAAGGAAGGATGGGTTAACACTATGACACGCTGTGGTGTGGTAATTCAGTAAATGCACTCTTCTTTCTGATTTGGCACTGAATCATTGCCACAGTATGATGATAGGGGCACAATGCTGGTGGAGGTGGCCTAATTCTAATACAGGTAACTACATTCTGCAAACCCCAAATCCCCCCCTGCAATTTCTGTTGAATATGAAATTCACGTAGCTGTGAGCTGTTAAACAGCTTTCTTGTTCCATCACAGATTCTGCTCCATTTCAATGGTGCCAGCAGGTAAAGTGACATAGGGACATTGTGACTGGAGAGTAGCCCAAGATGCCAAATTTTGAACACTACTGAGTTTGTGGTTTTTCTAATCTGAAGGTTTAGGTTGGCTCCTGGTAGAAATACAGGCCAGCTGCAAAACTTGGATCCAGATCTAAATTTTAATTCCAAATACACACATCAAGTTTGGGAGTGTTCAGATCTAGGGTTTCCATTCAGGCAGTGAGGTTTAATTGACCAGTGTTTGTACATTGGTTTGAGATCTTGGATAAAAAGACAATACAGAGGTGCAACATATTAGCTGTTGTTATTATCTGCTGGCCTCAAAAATAAAATTGTCAATGGAAAATTATCTTTGTACATAATTTATCATTACAGGGGAGTGGAATCTTTCTAGTATCCATATTTCCCTTAATACTAGAACGCCTGTCCCAGCCTTGTGCTGTTTGCTTGCCCTTGTGTGACAGACTGAGCATCTAGTTATGCAGTAAAGCTTGGAGCTGTTATACCCCAAAGAATGTTCTGTCTGGAGAAATCCAGTGACACTTTCCATCGCATTAGTTCTGCACTGATGGCACTTTCTTCCCTCATCAAGGGAAAGGCAAAGTTGATCATTTATTTATCATTTTTACCAGTCCTCCCGTGGAAAGCTCCCCCGATAGCAAAACTTGGTAAACAGGATTTTTAACTAGGAAAATTGGCAAAGCAATCAGTCTGACTGATTAAAGTCTTTTATTATGGATAACAGGAAAACCATAACCCAACTATTTAGATTCATATCCTACCTTATCCAGACAGAGCATCCCAAAGCCCTATACTAAACAGAACAGCTGAAACATTCTGCAACCAAATTAAACTTTCAGACAAAATAATAAAATCTGCTTTGAAGCTTGGCCCTAATGTATTCAGGAGGAGCAGTGCTCGAGCTGGTTTGGTTTTAGTTAGAGAGAAGCCTTAGTTGCAAAGTCCAGAGAGCTGCTCCTGCACCACTCCAGTCCAGGAGTGGTGCATTCATTGATTTCAATGGCATCAGGAGGAAGCCCTAGATTTGGATGCAAATTTTCCAAAGTCCGTGGCTGGTTTGATTTGGACCAATGATTGGGCCCTCTGAAACCGACTCGCGGCCCTCCAGTGGGTTGCAGACCCCCTGGTTCAGAACCATAACAGCATCAGGCTGAAGACAATGTTTGAAAATATTTAACAGAGCTCTGCTCTGGACAGCTCCAGCTGAATTTAAGCCCTGCCCTTGGCTTAGTAAAATGTTCTATGTAGACATGCCTTTTAATTGTTCCAGGGATTCTCTTCGGGCTTGTTTACTCTACAAAAGGTACCATGCTATGATACCTTATTATGACACAGTAGTGCTTTAGAGCCTGTGTGGAAGGAAAAAAAGTGTCATAACACTGTGCTCTGACACAGAACATTTGCAAGTTAGTCAGGTCCTTATTGTTCCACAGGTTGGAGCATCAGATTCATAGATTTTACGGCCAGAAGGGACCATGAGACTGATCTCCTGCATAACACAGGCCATAGAATTTCATCCAGTTAAAGGCTAGAACATGGTTGTTAAATGCGGTTCAAACTCAAACACGTCAAATTACTAATTTAAAGAGACGGCTCATGTGAGTAAGCAATACTCAGCCTGAGTGAGGGCTGCTGAATCTGGCCCTTTATGATTGGGATGTGGAAACTTGACAACACTTTGCTAGCCAACAAAATAAGTTCTTGTATAAGAGCAGCTTTAGTGGTGAACCAGGATGACCAAGGGTCAAATGATAAATGTAGGAGAATCATTCCAGGGGAAAGAAACCTCACTGAATAAATAAGCATGTCCAGAGCTTTAAGTTTGCTTCTGAAGCTAGGGCACTTCTGTGAAAATATGTGAGCTGGCAAAGTATTGAGAGGCCTAGTATGCAAATAAGTGCCAGAGGAAGACTTCAGAATTCTCATTTCCAGTACTACCACAGAATGGAGCTTTTCAAGCTGAGGTAGGGTTTACGCAGGTCAACCACACATACAAATCAGTCAATAGTCATTATATGGAGAAACGACGGGACCTGTTATGTTTGATAGGCATTTAATGATAAATATAAATCCATTGCTTTAAAAACGTACTAGTTTCACAATTTTATCCCACTCATTTTATCACCCATCTTGCTATTCGGCCCCCAGCCCATGTCCTTGTTTCGATCTAAGAGTAACTACGAAGTAAAAAAGAGGGGAGGGGGGCATTTTCAAACACAGGCACCTAAATTGTACTTGCAACATGTGTGTGTACCTGCAAACATGCCATTGCATGCATAAAACAGGTATGTGCATGTTGCCTGTTTGCAGAGTTTAGGTTCACAAGCTGCAGTGTACAAGACACCCCCTTTACTGGACAGCCTTCTTCCTTAAGAAATTGCCCCAAAGTATCTCCAAGGAGACTGAGTGTAGTTTTTCTCCATTTCTATTAGAAGATGCCTTCCCAAAGCAACCCACCTTGAGAAAATTTTCCTTTGAAAACAGATTTTGCTAGATACTTTTCCATATGTAAATTCCTATTTTACAAATATACAAATGCATTTTGGCAAGTTCAACTTAGCTGCCTGTGTTTGAAAGTTTAGGTCTCAGTGAAAGTTAGGATAATGTGAAATATATGGTTATGTTTGTATTAAGCAGAATTGTGTACAAGAAGCTACAGTATATTAATTCTTTTCATTATTTTAAGCTGTCTTCATTATTAGTGCATATTGCTTTGACTTATAAATGCTTCAGGCTCAGTGATAGGTACAGTGCTGTGCATGCAGTGTGCTTAATTGAATAAGGCAAAATGGTAATAAAGTTACTCATTAAAAGGGAATAATCATATCTCTTATTGCATTAATGGGCCATTCTTTTCCCTGGTTTCTACACAGGGAAGCTATCCAGTCCAATCAGTGTATGTGTGCATTTGTGAGGTGGGTTTTTTTTCCCCCTCAAATTAATTTACATGTTTTAGACACTTAAATCAATCACTCTTTATAAATAGCACCTTGGTATTTGCAGATTTAGACTGAGTCTACAGATTGTTCCATGTGCCTGCAGGAAATAAGATGCAGGATCAAGGCCAAGTTTGGAACATTTTTAACCCAGAGGGAAATATAAAGCAGACTTGCCAATTCCAAGCCATAGGCCTAGACCTATAGCCCTTATTTTAGCTTCAATGGGACTGTTCAAGCTGAGTAAGGGCTAAGGGCCCTGATTAAAGCCCACTGAGGCTGATGAAAAGACCCTCATGGATTTCAGTGGGCTTCATGTCAGGCCCTACATTGGGTAGAATAAGGTTTTATGTACATAGAAAGTAAAAAACAAACTCAAAGGCACTTTTAAGCATAACCTGCCCAACTATTGACATTTTGACATATCCCATGGCAAGAAGCAAAATGAACTATAAAATATCTTATTTACTCTGTACATCACAGGGTCTTATGCTGACAGGGGTGACATTCTCCCCCCGGCACTTGAGGAGACCAGCCTCGCATTCAGTCATTGTCCTACTGGTGACTTTCCCATTCACTTCAACGCAAATGCTTATTCCTCCCTCGTCGCATTGCCCAGCTTCTCGGCACACACACGTGTTGGTTTGAGCTAAAAAACACACATACCCCAATATTAGTATCTCAACCACTGAAAGAAAAACAGACTCATAACTGCCCTACTATCAGAAATTGTCCCAGTAACTGAGCAATTTGTAGGAGCTCCTGCTCCTGGTCAGATGTTAATCAATATTCAGGTTCAGTGGAAAAACTGCAAGCACATTCAAACAGCAGTTCTATTGTAACAGGAGTTGTAAGTGTGTATTGGGGCTGCTGCTAGTCTGAGCAGTGCTTGCTGAGGATGACTGAGAGCACAGCTCTCTCCTACCCATTTGAAATTATTGCTTGAAAAAAATACTAGCATGATTTATTATTTATCTGGTGGACGTATAAGATGACAGGTCCCTGCTCCAGAGACTAACAAGTTAAGGCCCTGATCCTGTAAACTCTACATATGTGTATAATTTTACTAATAAGTAATCTCACTGATGTCAATAGATCTGCTCACATAAGTATATATATGCACATGCATAAGTGTTCACAGGATCAGGGCCTAAATAACAACATACAAACAATAAGGAGTATGAGATTTCTCTTCCATTTGTGTGTGTTTTTAGAGTTGTCAGAATATCAGGGTTGGAAGGGACCTCAGGAGGTCATCTAGTCCAACCCCCTGCTCAAAGCAGGACCAATCCCCCCCCCCCCCCCAGATTTTTGCCCCAAATCCCTAAATGGCCCCTTCAAAGATTCAACTCACAACCCTGGCTTTAGCAGGCCAATGCTCAAACCACTGAGCTATCCCTCTCCCCTTTTAGGTTTAACCTTAGTGCACAGTTGTCCTTATTTAAGGCTTAGTTATTTTGACTGTCTATTTGTTTAATCTTTGCCTAATTTCTTCCCTTTCTATTTTAACTCTTTACCCATTTTTATTGTTGTTTGCTATTTTCAAAACAATGTTTGCTAAGGATCACTGCATGAACCCACTAGACAAGATATAAAAATATGTTTTTGATGGAGTTTTATTGTAAGAAATATAACAACTAATCTGTATGTGGGGATCTCAAAGCACTTTACAAATACTAATTCTGGTCACTCTAGGTCAAAAGAGATGTAACAGAAACAGAGGAGATTAAAAGACCAGTGATCAGAATAATTAGGGGCCTGGAAGAACTTCTATTTGACGATAGATTGAAAAGATTGGGACTGTTTACTTTAGAAAAGAGAGTGTATAATGTTTGAGTATGTATGAGAGCGTAGACCAGGCACTTTGCTTCATCTTTTCTCATAATGAAGGAACAAGGGGATGTTCAATGAAACTGAAAGGCAGCAAAGGAAATATTTTTTCCACACAATGTGTAATTAGCCACTGAATTCATTGCCACAAGATAAGATTGAAGGCAAGTGCTCAGCGGGATTCAGAAAAGTGTTGGACATTGCCATGGACAGTGACAACATCCAGAGTTAAGATGAGCAAGGATTTAATAACAAACACCAGGGGTGAAATCATGGCCCCATTGAAGTCAATGGGAGTTTTGCCATTGACTTCAGTGCAGTCAAGATTTCACCCCAAAGGTTCTAGAATGGATATCAAATGTCATGGTCCAACCTCTAATTAATGGGAGTTAGCAAGAAACTTTCCCTATTATTCCACAATTATTTCCTATAGGCTTTTTTCCAGCATAGAAGCATTTGGTCACTGTCAGAGACAGGGCACAGGACTAGATGGGCCTCAGCTCTGATTCAGGAGGGCAATTCCTATGTTCCAAACACCTCTCTGGAAGGTAGGAAGGAATTCTTATATCTATTTTACAGATGGATAAATGGAGGCACATCAAGCCAGGAGCAGAGTCATGGCTAATGTGCAAGAGGATAAAGGTTTTCTTTTATTCACAGGGAGCTTCTCCTAATTCATCCACATTAAATGTGAGGACTCTCTTACCATTACATGTTTGCCACAAATGACATGAGCCACAAGGTTTTGCAGCAGCAGCAGGCATTTTGCAGTTTTCCTCACTGGTCAAAGAGTATTTTCTGCCCATACACTCAAGAGCATACATCTTACACACAGTTAAGGCTGTGTTTCTCTTGCTTCTCTCATCGGTGGCACAGACATCCAGGGACGGTCTGAAAAGAAAAGCAGAAATCGCATCATTTACTTCTGCTTTATCTTGGTACCTCTTAAAAGGGAAAAAAAATGTCATATTCTGATCTCACGTACATTGATGCATTCCCAATGACTTCAGTGAAGTTACGCATGGCTTACATGCAGCTAAGTGAGATCAGAATTAGGCTCTCTGTCTCTCTCTCCATCACAGGTATGCTGTGCCTAACTTAAGACCTTTATCCGCCCTTTGAAGTCTCTGTGAATTTTGCCATTGATTTCAATGGGAGCATGTTTTAGTCTTTAGGTCCAGATCCACCAACGTATTTAGGCACCTAAACTCCAGATTTAAGTGCCTAAATATCAGTTTTAGGCATCACTGTTATCCACACCCTCTTGACAGCTAAACTCAGTTGCTTCTACCACTTGCTATTTTAAAAACACATAGTAGACTTACTGTATTGCTTTATTTGTCTGAAAATAACAAATTTCAACACCTGGTTTTTACAATACTTACAAAAACGTGTATACGAGGCTGTTTAATTTAGCTGAAAAGACTAAGGGGAAGATCCTAACTCACTGATCTGCCTGCTTTGTAATGCTTCGTAATGCTTCAGCAATCCAAAGCAAGTGAAAAGCTGATTGAACCAGCTGGTGAGGGATTCCCCCAGGCCAAGGATATACCAGGGCAAGGGATGTGGCTGGAACATGCTGCACTCCAGCAATCCCCTTGCTGCAAAATAGCCCTTTGGGAACTGCTGCAGCCAGGCGTAATTTAGAGCCTCCTTGATGCCTGGAGACAGAATATTAAGATGCATAAGGAATGTGATGAAAGATAATATGGAGAATAATATATTGCCGTTATATAAATCAATGGTATGCCTTCAACTAGAACACAATGCGCAGTGCTGGTCACCCCATTTCGAAAAGGAGTTTGCAGAGTTTGGAGGGGGTTCAGAAAAGGATGACAAGTATGATTAGGGATAAAGAAAAAACTCTCATAGGAAGAGTGATTGAAAAGACTGGGATTGTTCACTGTAGAAAGGAGATGAATAAGAGGTGACATGATAAAAGTCTATAAAATAAAGAATGGTCTAGGGAAAGTAGATTGGGAACTTCTGTTCTTCCTGTCCTCTAACAGAAGAACAAGGGACATTAAGTGAAACTGAAAGGTGAACTTATACTTTCCATTTTGTAGTTACGCTACTGATAATTCCGTCTTACCTGTAGTACTTTGCATTTGTCTTTATTGAATTTCATCCTACTTGTTTCAGATCATTTCTCCAGTTTGTCAAGGTCATTTTGAATTCTAATCCTATCCTCCAAAGCACTTGCAACCCCTCCAACCTTGGTATCATCCCCAAAGTTTATAAGTGTACTCTCTATGCCATTATCCAAATCATTTATTAAGATATTGAATAGAACTGGACCCAGACAGATCACTGTGGAACCCCACTTGATACGCCCTTCCAACTTGACTGTGAACCATTGATAACTGCTCTGAGTACAATTTTCCAGCCAGCTGTATACCCACCTTTATAGTAGGTTTGTCTAGGCTATATTACCCTAGTTTGCTCATGAGAAGGTCATGTGAGACTGCATCAAAAGCTTTACTAAAGTCAAGGTATTTCACATCTACCACTTCTCCCCTATCCACAAGACTTGTTAACCTGTCAAAGAAGGAAATTACGTTAGTCTGATATGATTTGTTCTTGACAAATCCATGTTGATTTTTTTACCAATCACTTTATTATCTTCTAGGTATTTACAAATTGTTTGTTTGATTATTTGCTATATTATATTTCCAGATATCAAAGTTAAACTGACTGGTCTATAATTCCCTGGGTTGTCCTTATTCCTCTTTTTATAGATAGATACTGTATTTTCCTATGGGAGGGCCAGTTCAGTCCTGCTTCTCTCCAAGCCCACAAATGACTCAGAGACTTTGTGCTCATAAAACACCCGATGCAGTCTATTTACAAAATTAGTTTCCACCACTCTTATACACTATATAGCCTTACACCTACAGTCCTAGAGATGCAGGATAAGGAAGGAGCTATCTACCTCTTCTCACTTTCTTCCTGTGTCTTTTGTATTATCTGCCTAATGGCCTAAATACCCTCTTAATTCTCCTCAGCCCATCAGTTAGGCACAGCTCTTCTTAATGAGGCCTACCACTTAGCATCCAGGCCCACCCAAATCTGCCACAGTGGCCCAGAGCATCTCTTGGGCACCTGAAATCCAGGATGGAGTGCAGGCAGGGCTGGAGCCCCCTGAATCCACAGGCTGGGAGGGGGTGAGTTATCCCAGATGAGGAGTGTGCCTCGTGGAGGCAGATCTGTGTGAGGCTAGCACTGGGGCCGGAGCGGAGTGAAGCCAGGCCAGACACCAAGATGCATGACTGGGCTGGGCGTGGGCAGGGCGCTGGAGACCGGAGCAGCAGCATGTGGTGCAGGAAGCACGGGGACACAGCGGCACCAGCAGGACAGAGGGACATGGTCGGGCGGGCAGACAGACACCGAGCTGGGGTTGGCAGGGGCAGGTGGAGCTCGAGCCCCAGTGAGGCCCCCCCCCTCCACCCCATGGGTGCACCCCGCAGCCTGTGCGCCCTGGGTAGCCTTGTCTTCTGATGCCTGCTGAGCGGTAAGGGCCGGCTGAAGGGGGTGGGGGAAGGTGGGCCCCCAGATTCCTCCAACCTGCCCCCCCCCCCCCCCGCCAGCCCTGATCCCTCCTGCACCTCAGTCCCATCCCTGCGCCCCCAGCTCCAGGCTCTGCTATGCCTCCAAGTTCTGCCACCTGACCCATGTCCTGTGCCCCCCCTGGGTCCTGCCCCTTCCCCCCCAACTCTGGCCCTTGGCCTCTGCCCTCCCTGTTCAGCCCCTCCCGTGCCCCAGTTTTCCCTCCCCGCTCTGGATAAACTTCCTCTCTTCCCAAGGCTCAAGGAACCTGTTTCCCTTGCTGGGTACCCTGCAGGGTGGGAGTGCGGGGTAGCCTTTGGACTCTGCTCAACTGAAGTGGGGGGCCAGTTCTTATTATCTCCCCTCTCCCCTAAGGAATGTGAAGAATTTCAGCCTGAAGAGGAGAACCTCTTTTACCCTGGCAGCTACCCACACTGGAGCATTGGGGTGGGGTCGTGGGCCCATGCGTATGCCCAGCTCAGCAGATGAGGCCCTGTGTCTGGGGGCACCAGGGCTAGGAAGAGGATGTGGCATTGGGGGAGAAGCTGAGCTTGCACAGTCTGTCATTGCCCGCCCACTGGAAGGTCAGGGTTCACCCAAATTTCCACTCCTAGCTACGCCACTGAGGTCTACTCTAGAGTAATTAATTAGAGTCACAGTGACTAGAGTGGTGGGTCAGCTGCTGTTGCCCAGTATTCTGCTGTATTTCTCTTTTCCAGTCTTCTGGGATCTCTCCCATCCTCTACAATTTCTCCAAGGTAATCGCTAATGGCTCAGAGATCTCTTTTTATATTTTTAATTAGACTGTGGAATTCAGTGCCATGTGATGTCAAAGGAGGGATTAGACATTTGTATGGATAACAAGACTATAGTTTTGGAAGGATATTAACCCTTCTGCTTCAGGGTTGAAACCAATGTCTAGCTATTGGGGATTAGGATAAAACTCTCATGTGGAGCAGATTCTCTCACATCTGCCTACTGTGGGGTTTTTCACTTTGCTGCATCTGGTGCTGACCACTGTCAGAGACAGGGCAGTAAACTAGATGGACCATGGGGTCTGAAACTGGGCTGAGCGGAGGCTGAGTTGTCTCCACAGCAAACTAAGGTACTACCAGACTCAGAGTAAGAAAACAAACTCAAGTTACATCCTTAATCCCTACATGGCAGTAAACTGCATCCCAAGTGACTAGGTGTCTATTCCTTCTAGTCTTCTTTAATAATTGATTTATTCTCTCTGCTAAAATGTTGGGGTTTTTTTTTTTTTTTGAGAAACAGTGAACTGATTGCAAAATAACTGTTTACTTACTTTTCTGCCACTTTGAACAAAATTTGTCAAAGGCTAAAAAGAATTATAAACCATGAGCCAAATCCAGACCTTTGCATAAGTGGCTGTAACACTACTGACTTCCAAGACTACACTGGTTACACTGGGCACAATTTAACAGAGCATTACACGTTGTCTATGGAAAAGGCCCTCATCACCGTAGTATCTGAACACCTCCTAGTCTGGAATGTGTTTATCTTCAATACTCCCCTGTGAAGTAGAGTAAGGCTATTATCCCCCTTTTACAGATTGGGAATGGGGCACAGAGACTAAGGGTCAGATTTTTAAAGGTATTTAAGCATCTCAAGATACAGTTAGGTACCTAATGGGATTCTCAAAAGCAAGGTGCCTATCTATATCTTTAGGTGCCTAAATACCTTTAAAAATCCTTCCCTAAGTGACTTGCCAAGGGCCACACTGGAAGTTTGGATTTAAAGCCATGTCCTAGGCTGCTGCCCTAACCACATGACATCCTTCCTCATAGCACAGCGATGAATCAGACCTACTAAAACTGAATTAACTTTAATTCACTTTCAGACATTCAAAATGTGCTAGTTAGAGCTTGTGTTGGCTAGGTGGCATTTTCAAAAATGCCTGAGTGACTTAGGAGTGCAACTTCCATTGACAAGTCCCAATGACTTTAAGTCACTTAGGAGACTGAAAATCCCCTACTTGACCACATTGAATAGAACCTTTTTCCCTGAGCCACATCGCCAAAGTCATTAGGCTTATTCGTGTAATTAGTAATTGCTCACCAATAAGGAGTATACAGCGTGAGACCAGATTCTCAAGAATTCAGCTCCCATGTAGGTATCTAAACAAGTGCTCAGCTGCCAGTAGCTCCCACTGTGATGGACATGGCCAGATTTCAAGAGCTCACACCCAAAGTGCTCAGCTATTATGAAAGACTCACCCCGACTGTGGGTGCAGAGGCAATTTTGAAAATTCAACTTTTACTGCCTGGTGGGGCCCAGACATTTTTCTGTTTCCTCAAATTAAAAAAATAAATAAATCAGTGATTGAGCCATTTGATTTCATGCACAATAAAGGCAAATCCAAACCACAGCACCATTTGTCCCATTGGTAAAGTGACCCGGAGACTCAAAGCACCAAATAAATGAACAAAAATAAACTCAAGCCAGACTTCACATTATGAGGTGCAAAAAGGTGACCTTGAGCACTCTGCTGGTGTCACAGATTGGCCTCTTCAAATTGCTGTGTAAATGGGAGATCAGATTATTGCATCTCTTCTAGCTCTCCTGTCTCAGAAAAACCACCTCCTTTATTGCATGTGCTTATTACTTGGAGAATTTATATCCCTGGGGGACTCAGCTCTTACTCTTCCTTGATCTTTAAATATCCAGAATAGCATTTTATCTTCCCCCATCCCCCATTTCACAGATCAAGTGGAGCTGAAATTATCCCTTTACCTTCAGCCACTTACCTAAATTCCATCACTGCTAATTCCCACTGACAGGTAAGTGAAGAACAGGGGATTGATTGAGCAGTAATGTAAATACAGCACAATGACTTTCCCTGGTATAAGTAAAGCTGTCTAATCTGTCACGGACTGAAATCCTGAGAAATTTAATTTGTCTTGAATAAAGTGAGAAAGTTATTGTCAATGTCAGGCTGAACTTACCCACACTCATAGGGCATTTTACATACACATTTTGACTGTTGCACTTTCTCCCATGGCTGACATTTAGGTTCTGTCAGTTCTGGTTTCACGCTGGGTACTAAAGTGAAAGAACACAGACAAAACCATTACAGATCAGAAAAATGAAGGCTATTAAATGGCGACCGTGGAATTATCCCCCTGGTTGCATTAAAAAGGTTTATTATTATACTATGCCATAAAATTACAGCCTGCTTGTAATAAAAATTATCTACTGTGTAGATGGAATCAATAGAATTTTAAAATGTAATAACCTCTGTAGCTAGTGCAACTGCTGAATGCTGCTTTAGCTCTGGGCCCAGAGTTAGATGGGGGACGGATGGGTGTACTATATATGATTGTGGGATACTAAGACCACAGCCTATCATGCTGATCAATATTGTCTCATTGTTTCATTTTCCTCCCCTGTCAGTCTGTCTTTATCGATCTTTTGTCTTATACTTAGTGCCTGCGCTTCTGGGCAGGGACTGTCTTTTTGTCCTTTGTTTGTACAGCACTTAGCACAATGGGCTCATGGTGATAATACAGATAACAAAGAATAATAATAATATGCAAGTGCTGTCTACAGTCTAAAATTCCACTTCCCATTTTACAGTAACTGTTAATTTCTGCTGTACTGATCAGCACTCAATAATAGCTAGCAATGTTGACATCTACTTTGATGGATTTCATCTACACTAGGTTTCAGAGTAAAACCTCATCTGATGTAAATGGTGGAAGTTGAGACTTCCAATCTCTAGTTAGAAATATTCTGATTTGGAGGTTGCAGCCAATGGAAACTACAAATACCAGTATGTGATCCTATATGCATAAAGACTAAAAATAAAAGCAAGATTGGATCTTGTAGAACTCTATGGACATAGGTGCTGGAACAGGGGTGCTGCTGTACCCTCTGGATTGAAGTGGTTTCCATCATCTTTAGGCTTTACAGTTTGATTCAATGGTTCTCAGCACGCCCACTATACAAATTGTTCCAGCATCTGTGTCTATGGATTGTGTTTGGACTGTGCTCTGTGCTTTGGCCTGCTGTATAATATTCCGCTTTGGCCTGCTGCATTATATTCAAAGCTTAAAAGTGAAAAAGGTCCTTACTGAACTAACATCCCTCCTGAGATTTCTCTAGCTAATAACAGTCAGACTTCGCTAAATCCCTGCAAAACTGTTTTCTGTAAGAGAGAGGTTTAACCTGGTTTGTGTATTGGATCTTGTAATATGACTGAGCAGAACTGCATTTTTAAAAAGAAATCTTTCTTACAATTTTAGACTTACTTTAGCAAAATAGATAAGAACAGACAAACTGTCAAAGATGGGGGGGGAATAACAAGAAAGAGAGAGAACTGTAGTAGAATTTTAATATAAACACTAAGCCTAGTCCTGACTGAGTGTAGATGAGAATTATACCACCACCCCACCCCACCCCTGCAAAAAAATAATAATAATAATCCTGGGATCAGCAGGTCAACCGGTCCTGTCTTTACTCTATAGTTTATAGCTAGGAAACTTAGTTATCTACTGACTATTCTTATCCCACTCTGACTCAGAAAACCCAGTGATGTGTTACGTCATGCACAATTATTACAGTGATTCCCATTCTTCCTTTTTTGATTTAAGTGGTTGATCTAGTACATCAGCTTTTTCTAATTCTTGTCTTTACGTACCTTCTTTTGTTAAAAATGTTATATTATCGGATTGATCCTCCATGCTCTTCCCACCAATGCAACTGTAATTCCAGGCTTGTCACACCCTTCTAGATGCATAAGGCTAGATTGTGATTTAAAGCTGTAGCTTACTAATGAGCTGGAGGGGACCCTGTGAGCCCCTTGTTAACATAATTGGCCTTTGAAGACCATAAAGGAGAATCTCAGCTTTCATTTGTTGTAAGAGTTCCTAGCCATTGTCCTTGCACAGAGCTTGAAAACATAAAGCAATGTAAGCTGGTGAAAACCAATTGCTAGGGTTGGAAGGAAAACCAGCTGAGCTACATTTCAGCAATAGGAGGTAGTTATATTTGGGCTGTACTCCAGGAAGTGATTTTGCTATCCCTTCCCAAATCCTTAGGTTGGCCCTGTTCATGGAGGTGTGATAGTGGAGGACAGGAACTGGTTTGGGGTAGTGGGTGTGACTGGGTGGTTAAGCCTTTAAGAGGAGCCAAGTCCAGCTCTCGCCTGTGCCTGGTTTCCTCCCAGATCACATAGGCAACAGCAAAGCCCCCTAGGGAGGGGAAGCAGGATATAATAGGTCCTGGTTTTCACTGTAAAGAGTGACCTGGAAGTGTTTGGGAATCTTACCACTAGACAAGCTGCAGGGGAACAGCAGTGGCTGTTAGCCCTCTCCAAGCTAATGTCTGGGAAGGGATTTCCTGTAACCTAGGGGAAGAATTTGTGAGCACCAGTTCTCAGAGGAAAAAGTCACCTAGACCCTAGTGAGAAGAGACAGTGGAGAGCTAAGAGGCAGCCTATAGAACTGGGAACAGATAGACGGAATCAGTCCTGAGGTGGCATGGATGAGAGAGGTTTCCTGTATGGATCTTAGGATATATTTCATGTGTTCATGAGACTATTAACCAGACCCCAGGGGAAGAGGCTCTGTTCTGGAACGTCCTCCCATCCCTCTCCCGAGAAGTGGTGCAATCCTACCCAGAAAGGGTAGCAACCCCCTCACAACAGTGAGTGCAAACAATTGTTTATCAACCTTGCCCCAAAATGCTAAAGCCAGTGTCGCTTCCCTAAAGGCTTGACTTGAGTGGCCTGCTACTCACTCGGGAAGCTACTGCAGTGGCCATGGCAGCTGCTCCAAGGCAACGGCCCTTCTACATCACCTACCAGCACTCCTAAGAGTACGTGGGGAAAGCCCGGTGCAGTACCTGCCCTCAACTGGCTGCTTCAGCGGGAGGGGTAGATGAACAGAGGCTAAGGTGCTGCTGTACTGAGTGGGAGTCCTGCAGCTGCTTTATCCTGCCTCTGTCCTGCCAGTGCCTGTATGCCCGGCCTCAGCCTGGAGCTTGAGGAGCCACTACTGAGAGGAAGCCTGGAGCCCCACTCCCCTAACTCAACTCCTGCCCCCAACAACCAGGGGACCCCAATTCACCACCAGCTAGGGGGACACTGCCAGCAGTTAGGGGAGGCCTGCCTGCCTCAAGAACCAAAAGGGACCCTTTTCCTAATGGACCACCCAGCCCCGCCACTGGAGACCTGCTGCCCACCTGACCATCCACCCCACAACCTCAGACCATAGTGTGCCCTGCTGTGAGGAACAGCTGCCAGGTAGGGGGGAAACACAGAAGAACTGCTTTGTGGTGCAGTTACTATGGTGGGCTGAGACGGGTCAGGTGGAAAGATGGATACACTGGGAGGGGGATGTCATCCACATAACCAGCTGAGATGGGAAATATCGGAGGGAACTCCTTGTTAAAATGTTGGCAGCTGCCACAGCCTGCAGGGGAATGATATGTGAAGGGGCTACATCATAGGCACCGACTCCATGAGTGCTCCAGGGCTGGAGCATTCACGGAAAAAAAAAGTTGGGTGCTGAGCACCCACCAGCAGACCCCCTATCAGCACCTTCCCCTCCCTCCCAGCACCTACCGCGGATCAGCTGTTCCGTGGTGTGCAGAAGGCACTGGGGGGAGAAGGGAGAGGACTGAGGGCGGGGTGCGCTTGGGGGAGGGGGCAGAACGGGGCAGGAAGAGGCAGAGTGGGGGTGGGGCCTTGGGAGAAGGAGTGGAGTGGGGGCAGGGGCAAGGTGGAGCTGGGGAGAGCACCCCCTGGCACATTAGAAAGTTGGCATGTATGGGATCCATTGCAAAAGGAGCCGCCAAGAGAAATAGTCTTAGGACACCTGAGGTGAACATCACAGCACAGCAACTCCATCAGCATGGGCAAGGGTGCAGCACATTTTATGACATGAGTAACTGTGGCACACTTAGGGAATAATAAATATATAATATCTAGCTCTTAGATATCACTTCTCATCAGTAGATCTCAAAGTGCCTCACAAAGGAGCTAACCCATTTTACATATGGGGAAACTGAGGCACAGAAAGGGAAATGACTTGCGCAAAGTCACCCAAGAGGCCAGGGGCAGAGCCAGGAATTGAGCCCAGATCTCCTGCACCCTAGTTCAGTGCTCTATCCATTAGGAAGCACTGCCCCTCTAATCATTACGAGGATTTCATTCAGACCCAATTATTGCAGTGGCTTACCTCTTCTCTTGCACCGGATATCCTTCATATCAGGAGACCACTTGAGGCTGGGCTCACACAGAATGAGAGATGACCCTTCCAAGTGCATGCCATCTGGACAGGACAGAGTCACCTTCTCTCCAATCTCATATGAAGGTTTCCATGGCGCTCCTCTCATATCCTCCGCCAGGACAGGTAAGACACAAGCTGTTTCTAAGGAATGAAGACAGCAAAAAGAATGGTGACACTGTAATTTGTTCAGAAAGTGGTCACACATTTCTTGTCCTGTCTGAAATTATTTGAGTCTATTGCCCATCATTAGAGCAAACTGTATGAAAACTCAGCTCTTATTCCTCTAGAAAGACATCAATTGTGTTAGTACAGAATATTAACCCATTTGTTAAACATTTGCTGTGTGCTTGGGGCTGTACCAGAGACAAAGACAATGTAAACCCTGGGGGCTGGGAATCTAGTCTGCACTGGGATCTCCCAGGATAAACTGCACTGGTATAAACCAGTGGCGGATTAATAATTTTGCTGCCCCTAGGTCAGGAAATAATTGCCGCCCTGGCCCCGCCCCGACTCCGCCCCCATTCCAACCCCCTCCCCAAAGTCCCTGCCCCAACTCCGCCTCCTCCCTTCCCCTATTGGATCCCTTCCCCAAATCTCCGCCCCCGGTTAACCGTCCTGGTTAACGTTGTTACGTTGCTGATCAATTAGGGAACATGCTCGTTTAAAGTTGTGCAATGCTCCCTTGTAAGTCGTTTGGTAGCCACCTGCTTTGTCTACTGCTTGCAGGAAGAGCAGCCCGTTGCAGCTAGCTGGTGGGGGCTTGGAACCCAGGGTGGACCGGCAGCCCCCATATCAGCTCCCCGCTCCCCTAAGTTCCCTGTGCAGCAGTTGCCTGCAGTTCATCTGTCCCTTCCCCCACTGCCATGTGCTGCTCCTGCCCGCTGCCTTGGAGCTGCTCCCCAAGACCCTGCTTGCTGTGCGGGGGGAGGGAAGAAAGGGGGGGCTAATGTCAGGGTGTCCCCCACCCCTCTGCTCCTGCACCCCGCTTACCCCATCTTCCATAGAGCAAGGGGGACACACCAGGGCTCAGGACAGAGGGAGCTTGCAGCAGCTGCAGTCTCAGCAAGCTGATCTAATTAACAAGGCAGTGTACTTAAAGGGGAAATGCGCATCTCTCTCTCTCACACATACTCCCTCCATTCCTACTGCCTTGTAGAGTGAGAGAGTTAACCCTTGAGGGCTCAGCCAATTGCTAGTTCATCATTTAGCAGTAGCGGAAATATCCCACCCTCTGACTCCTCCACCTCAACCAAACTTCACAATCATCATCACTGTGTACCAGTATTAAATTGTTTGTTTAAATCTTATACTGTGTGTGTGTATATATATATATATATATATATATAT